GCCGCGTAATCTTGAGGTCGGAGCGCGTGCACTTTCGTGTAATGAAATGCATGTTGTCTATTGCGCTTCAACACTCTTTGGATGAAGTGGTAAGGCAAGTTCAGATCTGCCTGCATTTTCCTTATGCTCGTAGTAGGTTCTTCACGAATGCGAGCTAGAAATAGATCCAAAAGTAAAAATGCGTTTTTCCTCTATGCCAAAATAAATGTGTAAATGCATGCGAGATCAGATGTGTATTACAGCGTTGATACAGTGATTATAGTGGAAGAAAGAGAAATATCGTAATACCTAAAACTCGTTCTTCGTCGCGCCCGCGAGGATCACGGTCAGGAGCACCAGCAACACCATGACCTGGTCCTCGACGATTTCGAGGAATGACGTTGCCGTCTTCTTCGATGCGAAGCGTAGCTCCCAGAATCACGTGATGGCTTGGACGACGCCTATCGGGGAATCGCTCGGCATATACCCTGGCAGCTTCGGCAGCATTTCGATGACATTCACCGTAGATATAAAGCATTTCGGCGTAATCTCGAGCCGTGTAGGTCTGGCGCAGACGGGGAATGACATCGCCACCACCTCTCACTCTATTTCCAGCCATTATTTTCTTATTGACTAATAAATAAACATAAATCAATGACCAAGGATATTGAATAATAATAGATTAGTTAATAATATACTTACTGAATCAAATGATGTTGATTTATGAGAGCAGCAAAAGCACTAACCTATGACGGCGATCGCAAAGTTCGTCACATACAATGCAAGCGCGTATTAAAGAGCAAGAAACAATGAACGATCGGAAAACGAATACGCTCGCATAAACATAATAATCAAACAAACGAATTCAAATCAAGCGACGAACAGATACATCGTACCATAAAAATATTTTATACTATATAATATATACTATATAATTATTTTAACTATTATGCTGGTACGAAAAAAAGGTCGTTCTTCTCTTATTTTTTTTTTTTTTTTTAAGCATCCCTACGCCGGAGAAAAAAATTTGCAAGAGGGGAGGCTTGAATTTAGAAATATTATTGTGCGGAACATTTTAAACCCAAAGTTTTGATAGTTCAAAATTTCCAAAAAAATAAGAAAAAATACGTTTACGTATCCGCATCGTCGCCTGAATCTGTGATTCGAGCCAGAGTCTAGATAAGTCATTTTAACTCGGATAACTACGCATCGACTTTTCGTAATCGAAAAACAAATCAGGAATAAAAACAGAAAAAAATACAAGTTTTTCTCTGAGACACACCGTTATCGATCTCGCAAACTTGTGGGAGTTTAAGATTTTGGCAATCGTATTTTTTTTCAAGTTCGAGCCAAAGTGTCGTATCTTCAGCTTCGTTGCATCGGAAAAAACGCGCGGCTCGCCCTCGCAGCTTATATTTCGATATTTTTCGAAAAAAAAAACACTCTGTTTTTCTATTCGCGTTCTCGTATGGGTCGGTGATTCAAGCCAGAGTCTTAGTCCGTCATTACCACTCAGACTCCTTCGTAGAAAATAAATTTTTCTTACTCGACGAACGAATCAGGAAAAACGGCACAAAAAAATACAAGTTTTGCTACGAGACACACTGTTCTCGAGCTTAAGATTTTGGTAATCGTATTTTTTTTGAAGTTCGGGCCAAAGTGTCGAGTCTTCAGCTTCGTTACGTCGGTAAAATGGGTAGCTCGCTCTCGAAGCTGTAATTTTCTTTATTTTTTGAAAAAAATATTTCATTTTTCACCAGTAACTAATAATATTATCGTATTCGATGAAAGTCCGAATTTGAGGTTGTTCACAAGGTGAGCTTTATGGGTATTTTTCATCGTGTCGCTCATAATTTATCAAACCCTTAGTTTTTTTACTACGCCGAGATAGAATTTAAGTTTATGCATTCGACATGTCGCCATTCTAACCCCGCTCGATGTGTCGGAAGCAAGGCACACGCGCTCGCTTTGTTTGTTTACATTTTGGAGCGCATCAATACTTTTGTTGTCATTCGTCAAAACAACTGCCGAGCGAGAATCCTCGCAGGACCTTTCATTCATAAATTTTAGCGTTTTACTACGTCGATTATCTCGGTTATTATTGAAAATAGAAAAAAACGCCAAAGGAACTTTCGACTCAGAATTTTCCCAGCTACATGGCCGTGAAGCGGTGGAAGGTACTTTCCGATTGTAGGATGCATAGGCAGGCCTGCTTGTATACGTACAGTGTGCACACGTGCTGCGACGCGCATCCTTGTCCCTCTCCGTCTCTCTCAAATGATCGTCCCCGCGTCGGTGCAGCCATCTTGCATATCTGAGCCGCATTGCTCGCGATTCCTCGAGGGCAAAAGGTATATCTCTTGGCGCAGTGCTAGAGAGAGAGAGAGAGAGAGCGCGCGCGTTCATATAGTATGTATGTATGTATAGATATATAGGTGTACGTATATTGCAACGAGACATAAGTTGTGTGTCAGGGTATGAGCTGCATATACATATTATAGTACAGAGATGTAGGTGTGTATACGCTCCTCGCTCGCGCGATGAGGGGATACAGACGCACACACTCGCACACACGAAGGTATATTGCTGCCGGTCCACATGAGAAGTGAGACAAAAAGAGCCCTATAAGACGAGCGGGTGGGAGAAAGAACGCTATACACACACACACACACACATGTACGAGCGCGTAAAACTATACACGCGATTCCTACATACACGCAAACACACTCGGCGCTTATTATTGCCGCGTGCAGTGCCTATGGTATAGGCGCAGAATCGCGCGCTCGCAGGTGAGTGCGAGCGAGAGAGAGAGAGAGAGAGAGAGAGAGAGAGAGGCAATAATGCCCGTTGGGTCCGATAGATCGGAGAGGGACTATACGGCGTTGGTTGCAGCCGCAGCAGCAGGACTCGCTTCTCGCTCTCTCCCTCTTCCACTCGCCTCGAGAATGTCCTCTCTCGGTCTTGTGCGCCCTCTTTCGTTTGCGAATCGTAGGCTTGCACTCACTCACGCGCGCACACACACACACACACACACACACACACACACATATATACCGTATAATATTATTATATACGGGGACCGCTGCCGCCGCTGGCGCGCCGTCCGCTTTCTGCACTTTTCGCATGCTGCGCTGCAGGGACTGGTCTCCAGTCAAGTTGGGTCAGGCCTTGAAGAAGGAGGCAGAGAGGTGCGCGCGCTCCTCTCGTATACATTATATACATATAAACGAGCAGAGAGGAAGTGTGTAAGGGCAGCAAAATCCGTAGCTGCTGGTGTGTGCGCGCGCGAGACAGATTATATATAATATATGTGTATATTTAAACGCGTATTTCGAGCCAAAAGAGTCGCGTGAGGTTATCGATCGTTCGTAACCGATTTTTCGTATACAGATCGCATCGTTGATAGTACTTTGCGCATCGATCGACCATCGAAGAAAAACAAGTGACTAAGTACAGTGCGCGTGTGTTAACCGAGTAAAAAATAATCGCGTGTGTTATATCCCCTTTCGTTAGTAATCAAAACGTGATCCAAAAAAATTTAGATTTTGAACGATGAGTAATAGAAAAAGTTTAATTTAATACATCGACGAGAGCTTCGAAGAGAGATTCACTCCGACTTTGTATATACATCGCTGGTGTGTTGTGTTGTGATTTTTACCTGCGTGCTTATATATGTTGTATATATACAGCACACGTATATATATAATATGTGTGTATAGTTCCTCTCGCGGCTCGTCTTCGGCCGATGCTGCACAGTGCGTATACGTGCCTACTACTCTCTCCGCGGAGCCGAGCTAAGAGAGGCTTCTGCTAAAGTGGAGGAGAGCAAAAAAGGAGAATAGCAACAGCATCCAGCACACATACACACATTATACACAGCGCGTCTGTGGAGAAGCAAGAGAGAGAGAGAGAAAGCCGGGCGTGCAGCGTATATACGGACACACGCCAGGACTCTTCTCTCGCTCATACATATATACGTATCATCATCATCGTACGTATAGACGCGCGAGAGGAGGCTCTCGAAATAAAAATAAAAAATACAAGTGAGAGAGAAGAAAAAGAGGTGGGGGACACAGCCGGTCGCGTGTTCTTGGTATGCCAAAATCGCGAATCGCCGCCCTTCGGGAATTTCAAGTTTGTGCTATGCTGCTGCGCGCTTGAAGTCCTTCGTGCGCGAGATCTTCGGCGAGAATTACGCGAATACAACCACTCGCATTATATTGCCCTTGCGCGTTGCCAGAGAGAGAGAGCACGATAGCCGCTGTCAGATAAGTGTTACAACCACGAGCTTTTCTCTCTCTCTCTCGTGACTTTATTTTCTCTCTGGCCGGTGTATATTTATTTATATACACGTGCAGAAGTGACTCTTTTCCGATCTCTGGTCTTTTATACTTCGTTTCGTTGCTGTGCTTTTTTTCTTCTTCTCGGCACTCGACGAAATCGAATTTCGGAGAATCATCGCGGTGGATTATAATCCTTGTAAGATTTTAAACTCTTCCGCTGTTTAAATTCTTGCACTCGAAAAATCGGCAAATATGAAGCCGGTGTCGGATTGGCCCGTCACGCGCAGTGCATCGCTGTACACGTGCATATAGGCAGAAGCAGCGGCAACATGACTGCAGCAGCCGGCACTATTGCGAGAAATTGAAGCCTTCGAGCCGTCTAGGTGTGTGTGTGCGAGCGAGTGCGTTGACAGAATGATAAAGCACTGTCACAGGTAGCAGACACTGCTGGTCTGCTAGAGAAGAAGGCCCACGAGGCCGAAGAAATAGAAAGAGAGAGCGATAAAAGATTTATTAGAGATGAGGACGAAAACAAGGAGTAGAAAGATGTTGTTGAGAAGACTTTTAGTAATGCCATGGTGGCTGATATTACAGCTGCTGCTGCTAATGTTGACGACAACGGCGACCGTCGACGCAGGCAGCAGCTGGACGAGCTTCAAGAACGAGGCGTTGCGCAGCGTGCCGAGGCGCTCGGTGCAGGGCGCCGGCGGCGACGCCACCACGCAGATCAACCTCGCCATGCAGAGTCGCGCCGTGGACAAGCGGGTCCAGCTGCAGGTGAAGGAGGGCGAGCCCGTGGGCACTCTGGTCGGCCGCATACCCGTGATGCCGGGCTTCAGCTATCGCTTCAACGAGCAGCCGCGCGAGTTCGGCCTCGACCCGCTGAGCGGCGACATTCGCACGGCGGTGGTGCTGGATCGCGAGGCACTGGCCGCGGATCGCTTCGACCTCGTGGTGCTGTCCTCGCAGCCGACCTATCCGATCGAGGTGCGCATCCTCGTGCTCGACGTCAACGACAACGCGCCCGAGTTCCCCGAGCCGAGCATCGTCGTGCGCTTCAGCGAGTCGTCCGTGGTCGGCACCAAGAGCCTGCTGGACCTGGCCACGGATCGCGACAGCCCGGCCAACGGAGTGGGCGACGACTACAGCATCGTCTCGGGCAACGTCGACGACAAGTTCCGTCTGCTCGTCACGGGCAGCGCAGCGGCCAACGCGGATAACGTCGAGTCCGTAGACGCCGCCGCAGCCACCTATCTGCACCTCGAGACCACGGGCAAGCTGGATCGCGAGCAGGTCGAGCACTACCATCTGAACGTGTGCGCCCGGGATCGCGGCCGACCGGCCCGCGTCGGCTGTCTCCAGGTCAACGTGACGGTGCTCGACGTCAACGACAACGCGCCCCAGTTCCAGCAGGCCGACTACGTGGCTCGGCTCAACGAGAGCGCCCCCGTGGGCTCGCACGTGCTCCGCGTACACGCCACCGACCGGGACGCAGGAGACAACGCCCGACTGACCTACTACCTGCCGGACAGCGAGAGGCGTCAGTTCCAGATCGACGCGGACACGGGCGAGATCACGACGGCCGAGGCGCCGCTCGACTGTCCGCAGCGCCCGAGTCCCTGCGCTCAACAGGGTCGGGCCAACGGCGGCTGCCCCAAGAGCTGCGTCATCACCGTGTTCGCCCGTGACCAGGGCTCGCCCTCGCAGCACAGTCGGGCCTACGTCACGGTGCAGCTGCTCGACGCCAACGATCACGATCCGCGCATCAATTTCACCTACGTGCCGAGGACGGCGGGCTTCGCCACCGTCGACGAGAACGCGGCGCAGGACTCGATCGTCGCTGCGGTCAGTATCGAGGATCCGGACGAGGGCGCCAACGGCGAGGTGCGCGTCGAGATCCTGGCCGGCAACGAGCTCGGCCACTTTCAGCTCGTGGAGAGCAGCGAGACTCTGTACATCGTGCAGGTGCGCGGCCGGCTCGATCGCGAGGAGATCTCCACGTACAATCTGTCGATCCTGGCGCAGGATCGGGGCCAGCCGCCTCGCTCGAGCGTGGCCCATCTGGTGATCCACGTGAACGACGTGAACGATCACGAGCCCGTCTTCCAGCAGACCGAGTACTCGTGCGTGCTGTCGGAGCTGGCGCCGGTGGGCAGCTTCGTGGCGAGCATCGTCGCCACCGACGCCGACACGGGCCTCAACGCCAAGATCTTCTACGACTTCGCGGCGGGCAACGAGCAGGCCTGGTTCGCCATCGACAAGAACACGGGCCTCGTCACGACCCGGGCCAGTCTCGATCGCGAGGTGCGCGGCAGCATCGAGCTCAAGGTCGCCGCCCGGGACGGCGGGCCCAATCCGAAATTTGCCTCGTCGCATCTGCGAGTGACCATCCTGGACGAAAACGACGAGGCGCCCGAGTTCGTGCACCCGGTGGTGCGGGTCACCCTGTCCGAGGCCACGCCGGCCAATCGTCTGGTGGCGACCCTCTCGGCCATCGACAACGACCAGGGCACCAACGGCAGCGTCGCCTACAGTCTGCACCCGGCCACCCAGCGCGACTATCCCAAGCAGTTCTCGCTGGATCAGCTGACGGGCCAGCTGTGGACGAGGCAGTCGCTCGATCGCGAGAAGATCGAGGACTACCGGATCCTCGTGATCGCCCGGGATCAGGGCCAGCCGCCCCAGAGCTCCACCGCCACCGTGCTGCTGAGCCTCGAGGACGTCAACGACAACGCCCCGGCCTTCTATCCGACCAGCTACTTCTTCCCGATCGCCCAGGACGTGGGTAGGGGTGCGAGCGTCGGCAAGGTGCACGCCAGCGACCCGGACGCCAAGGAGAACGCGCAGATCCGCTACGTGCTCGAGTCGGGCGGCGACGGTTTCTTCGCCGTCGACGAGCGCACCGGCGAGATATTCCTGCAGAACTCGCTCAAGAAGTCGAGCAAGGACATCTTTCAGCTCGTGGTGTCGGCCAAGGATCTGGGCGACAAGCAGGCCCAGCGCAACGCCCTGGTCGAGATAGCGCGCCGCGACAAGCTCAAGTACGTCGATTTCAAGATGCCCAACGGCTACCAGTTCAAGATCGCCGAGAACCCCGAGGAGTGCTCGGAGAACGGCCTGGTGGCCGAGCGCGAGCTCGGCAACGTGCAGCTGGTGCAGTCACCGCACGACGGCTCGAAAGTCAGCTACACCATAGTCCAGGGCGATCCACGCGGTCGATTCAAGATCAACGAGTTCACCGGCACCATCGGCACGGCGGGCTGTCTGGATCGCGAGGAGCAGGCGCACTACGGTCTGCAAGTGTTCGCCCGGGCCGGCCTGGCTCACGGCCTGACGAGCGTCAACGTCACGGTGCTCGACGTCAACGACAACGCGCCCGAATTTCCCAGCCCCGAGGACGAGGTGCTGCTCAAGGAGAACGCCGCCGTCGGCCAGGAGGTCTGTCTGGCTCGTGCTCGCGATCGCGACGCCGGGGCTAACGCGCGAATCACCTACGCGCTCACCCAGAACCCGGCGGAGCAGTTTCGCATCGCCGACGCAACCGGCGTCGTCTACCTGGCCAAGCCACTGAAGCAACGCTCGGCCGGCACCGTATTCAATCTCGAGGTCACGGCGACGGACGCGGGTCAGCCCCAGCAGCTGCAGGCCCGACAGCGTATACGAGTCCTCGTCGAGGACGTGAACGATCACACGCCCGTGTTCGACCTCGACGGCTACGAGACCTCGATCGCCGAGACGACCCCCGTGAACGAGCGATTCTTCGGGCTCGCGGCCCAGGACGCCGACTCGGGCGCCAACGGACGCGTCTACTATCACATCAGCGGCGGCAACGTCGAGGGTCGCTTCGGCATATTTCCCGACGGCCAACTCTACGTGAAAAATCCGCTAGATCACGAGGAGCAGAATTACTACGCGCTCGAGGTTACGGCCAGTGATCAGGGCACGCCTCAGAGACGCAGCTCTAGCGTGCCCGTGGTCGTGCACGTGCTGGACGAGAACGACAACGCGCCCCAGTTCGCCAACTCGAGCTTCTCGTTCCGCCTGCTGGAGAATCAGCCCGAGGACACGTTCGTGGGCAAGCTGCTGGCCTCGGATCGCGACTCCGATCGCAACGCCGAACTCACTTACTCTCTCGCCCCGGGTCAGCAAGACTTCCAGGTCGATCCACGCACCGGCTTCGTCAGGTCGCTGCGATCCTTCGACCGGGAGAAGCTGCAGTCCACGGGCGGCGGGGGCAGCGTGATCGCGTTCGAGGCCAGCGTGGAGGACAACGGCGCCGAGGTGAGACTGCGCGACCGGGTCCAGGTGCAGGTGCAGATAATCGACGTCAACGACAACGCGCCCCAATTCAAGCGGTTGCCCTACAAGGTTCAGGCGAGCGAGGCCACGGCACCGGGCACGCAGCTGGTGCGCGTCTACACGAGCGACGCGGACGAGGGCCTCAACGGCGACGTCTACTACTCGCTGCTGAACGACGACGAGGGTAGATTCAGCATCGACGAGGCCACCGGACAGATCAGTCTGGCTCGGGCCCTGGATCGCGAGCAGCGCGACAGCTATCAGCTCACCGTCGTCGCTCAGGACGCCGCGCCCGTGCCGAGTCAGAGGCTCAGCTCCAGTGCCCTCGTGCACATCGACGTGCTCGACGAGAACGACAATCAGCCGCAATTCATCGATACCAAAGCCTCGATTTCGGTACCCGAGAACGCCCCGATCAACGTCGAGCTGCTGCGTTTCCGAGCCCGAGACGCCGATCTCGGCGCCAACGGCGAGCTCTCGTTCGCCATCACGGGCGGCAACAGACGCGACGCCTTCCACTTGGACTCGGCCACGGGCTCCCTCTATCTGCGCAGGCCGCTCGATTACGAGGAGCTCAAGGTCTACTATCTGAACGTGACGTGCAGCGACGCGGGCCACCCGCGGCTCAGCTCCAGCGTCACCCTCGAGGTCGCGGTGATCGACGTGAACGACAACGCGCCCGTCTTCCCGAACACGGCCATCGTCCGGCAGATCGTCGAGGGCATACCGGTGCATCGTCCCGTGGTCACGGTCACCGCCGAGGATCCGGACTCGGGCGACAACGGCGTCGTCACCTACGCCATCGGCCATCAAGAGCCCGAGGATCAGCAGCGTCGATTCGGCATCAATCCGACCAGTGGAGTGATTCACACGCTGCTGCCGATCGATCGCGAGGAGATCGACACGTTCAAGCTGACGATCGTAGCCACGGACTCGGCCAGACCTCCGCAGACTCGATTGTCCACGGAGAAACTCGTCATAGTGATCGTCACCGATATCAACGACAACGCGCCGACCTTCTACAGCATGTCCGCGGCTGTATTGCCGATCCGAAGCGGCCAAGACGCTCTTCTTCCCGGAAAAGAGATGCAGGTGGCGAAGCTCGAGGCTCGCGACCCGGACTCGAACAGCAACGGCCTGGTCACCTACGAGCTGCTGCGCCAGCCCAAAGACACACCGGAGGCTAATTACAGCAGCGACCTGTTTCGCGTCGATCGCAACAGCGGCGCCCTCATGCTCACGATGACGAGCAGCCACCAAAACTTATTCGATCGCGTGTCTAAACTGCGCGTCGGGATACGCGCCACCGACGAGGCCGTCCAGTCGGAGCGTCGCTCGAGCGAGACCCAGCTCACCCTGATCATGCCGGGCGAGGGCGACGACTCGCCGATCTGGGAGCACGGCGGCCGTCTGGAGGGCAGCGTCCACGAGAACTCGCCCGTGGGCACGAGCGTGGTGCGTCTGAGGGCCCGTTCGCGACGCTCCAACGAGGAGCTCGAGTACTACGTGACCAACGTGACCGCGTACAGTAGCGGCAGTAGTGCGCGTCGCCAAGCCGATCGACTGTTCGACGTGGAGGTGCGCAGCGGAGTGTTGTCCACGGCGGCGGTGCTGGACCGCGAGGCCGGCGTGGACTGGTACGAGGTCGAGGTCTACGCCATTGTGGCGGCCGGAGGCAAGCCGAGCACCCTCTCCACCAAGGTAAGAGCAGTTGCTGCATTATTTTCTCTCTCTATTCATATTATATTATTATTATATCTGTATATCGAATTGAACTCGGCGCGGTGAAAGTTTATATATATATCGAAATTGATTGATACAATATTCGCGTGCAGAGCAGCTGCACACACGAGCTTTGTTATTACGCAAGGAATTATGGTAATTGGCCCGCTCATAACGGCGCCTTTATTTATTAAGTCAGTTTTAATTGTATCGATATGAAGTCCGCTTTCGGTGGGCCCCCCCGACAACGCATTAATATCATAAACGTGTATGGGTCTATAGCGAAGCTTTCTTTATAGTCTCATTAGCGGTGCCATACAGTCGGCGCTCCAAAGTCTTTCTCTCTCCTCGATAACGTCGGTGTACGTCATGTCTCGTAATAATAATTTCAATGCGCAGCTCTCGTTCCGCTTATGTTTGTGTGCATAATCAATATTAGCGAATTGTAACGTATCTATTATCATCCGAGCTCTTTCTCTCTCTCTCTTTCTATACGTTGTCGTTTAATTATAAATCGGACAAGATGTATTTATGTATGTTACATACGCGAGCGCGCCTTACTTAGAGGAAGCCATAAATTCTTGAACGCCGCGATATAATAATCGTAGAATCAAGGCGAAATAAATTCAATTGCCGAGTGCACCGTGAGCACTGCTTAAAATGTATAGGAAGAGGGTATATATGTAGCTCTTCTCATTACTCTTTTGCATTGTGCGCTGCAGCAGTGAGTACATACTACATATAGAGCTGCTGCTGCTGTTGAAGAACAATTAACGCGTGCGCGCGAGCGAGCTTGCTCGTGACCTCCGAATTTCAAAGATTCCTCGAAACGCGCGCCATAATAAATAAAGCTCGCCTGGCCTGTTTGTCTGTCTTTCGTTCTCTCTCTCTCATTCTCTCTTCGTATATAAGAGTAATTTGCATAATCAACGACTAGGTGTACACGCATGTATATGTGCGGGTATATATGAAGGTAAAAGAGCGAGGGAATGAAAAAAAAAAGAGTCGAATTAAGTCATCAGACACACTCACACACGGACGCAGCGCGATTTGCACTTGTGCTTCGATACACGTACGTGTGTTCTCGTCGTAGTGTGTGTCTGTGCGTTGTAATGCACGTCGCGCGGGCTACACACTTCCCACGCGGTGCACAACACAGTATATATACTGCACAGGGAGTAATACTCCTTCCGCTACGCTCAAAACTTCATACGAAAGACGCGCGGAGAGAGAGAGAGAGAAAGAAGACGCTCCCGGGCTTCATTATACGTGTGTACATCAGTGTGCGTGTGTATACGTGTGTGTGTGTGTCCGCGTCCGTGTGCGTGGATGAGCGAGCGCAGCAGCGGCGATGGGGTAATGAACCAGAGGCGTAAAGAGGGAGGAGAGCAAAAGAAAGGGAAAGATTGTTGCATAATGAGACCTTACAGTGTGAAAGGACAGAGAGAGAGAGATGCGCCGGTCTTGTACATATATCTATATAGATGAGCGAAGAGAGCACACCTCTTTTTTTGCCTCGAAAGCCGAGCTCGCGAGAGAGAGAACGAGAGAGAGAGCAGCTTATAATACATTATTAAATGAGCGATTAATCGGTTGCAGTGTGCAGCTCTTGCTCGACTGATGCTTCGATCCTGACGCTGCAAGAGAAGCGATTTCTTGTGCGATGTGTGTGCACACACACACACACACACACACACACACATACACGTATGCACTGCGGAATAATTAGTATAGTAGTATAAGTACATGACTCGTGCCACGCCGCTGCATTATTGCAAATTAAAGACACTTTTTTTTCTACGATTGCAAAATACCTTCTGTACGTTACATTTTTTAATCGAGTGCGTAATATGTGCATAATATGTGTTTATAAGGGTGTGAGCAGAAAGATTAGTTTTATTCGGCGGGGAAACTGCTTCACACGTGATAAATATAGTCATAAAAAGTTCATCCGTAAAACGATACAAACGATCGAACGCGACAGAATTTTGACGCGCTGTGACTGGTCTGCACTCAGCAACGGTCGTTACCCCGTTCCCTCGCTTTTGTCGCGGCAAGTGGCAGTTGGCAGTGGACCTGCTCGACGCTCGAATCTTTGTATCGTCTATGCAGCATCGCTTTAATCTCAGTCTCGCGATTGCCTGCATTGCTCTCGCTGTGAGTGTTCGACGCAATTTGGTCCATTTGTATTAGTGTAACGGCCAAACGATACAGTAGCTCACTAAACATCGTAGAGTTCAAATATTAGTATAGTGGTCACGAGAGGTTACGTCGCCGCAGCGTCGACAACAAAAAGAACATCGATTCGATCGATACGAATGATTCGCGTGAAAAAAGTGAAAAGTATTTCATACCGTGAGTGACTGTGTGTTGCATGTGAGTGTGTGGAACGATGGCCCAAAATGATCTAAATTGTTTCGAAGTATTGAAAGAGTTCCGACGACGATTCTTTAATTGGGAAATCGAAGAAGTACGAAATATCATTCCTGTGGCATTTCATGTCTTGAATGAAAAATGCCACGGCCAACTTCCAAATCTCCGAGATATTTTTCGGCCTGAAGAAATCAACTTGGTTCTTAAAGATTGTTTGAGTTCTGATTGGGCAGAATCGGTCATTGACTTCGTGATCAAGACTGGATACAAGAACGAGCCCGACCTCGATGAAAACGGCAAGCCGATATTGCTTCTTACTACAGCAGTGCATCACGCGGCAAGACGCAGGCCCCGTAACTGGGACACCGTCGTCCGTCGACTTTTTGAGATATACGACAGGTTCGACGTGAACTACACCGACGAGTTGGGCTTAACACATTTCCACGTTGTTTGCGAGTTAGGCCTCGACGATGTCGTCGAGAAGTTCCTCGAACTCGGGCAGGATCCCAATTGTCTCGAGCAAGAAACGAGCGATTCGCCGCTGCACTCCGCACTGAGATGCGGCAACAGACGCGTGGTCGAATTGCTGCTGCGAAACGGCGCCAACCCGAATTTGGCCAACAAGAACGGATTAACACCTTTGCATATCATTTGCAAGAGATATGACGACGACGGCTTAGTGAAGATATTGTTCGAGCTCGGCAACGAAAAATATCAGCCGCTGCAAGTCGATGCCCAAGACGAATTCGGTGACACGCCGCTGCAAGTGACTCTGTCTTGTGATCGCAAAAACTTGTTCGAATTACTGTTGAGAAAAGGCGCCAATTCGAATTTGGCCAATTCCGAGGGATCGACGCCTCTGCACATCATTTGCCAGAGATACCACGACGATGACTTTGTAGAGATATTCTTCAAGATAAATAAAGAATTCAATCAGCTGGTGAAGGTCGATGCCGTGGACCACATGGGTCGGACCCCATTGCAATTAGCTGTGGCGAATCTTTTGCCGGAAACTATCGATGTAATCTTGACTTATGGCGTTGATCTGTCTACTCTTGTCTTTCCCACGGAGAGCGAGTTCGACGAGAGAGTTGGAAATCATTTAATATTGGTTTATTCCAAAATGAAAGTAGCTGCGAGCTTGCTGGCCATCGTCGAGCGCCTAGAGACAGAAGGATACAATTTGGGCCAAAGCAACGCCTTGACAATCATGAATTTGTTCACTAAGTACAAATTGTTCGATTCGCCGTGGTATTATAAGCAATGGTACAATGACAAGGTACTTGAGAGAGAAGCAAAAAAGAGAATGATACGTCCGAATCTGTCGTTCTACGAATTGATCCAGTTTCCACCCAAAGAGGCGGCAAAATTAATCACACCTGGGGAATATTTCAAATTCGCACGCGCGAATAATTCTTGGCTCTCCCGCATAACGTTTAACAATGCTTTGATTGCGCATCTGTACGAGATACGATCGAAAGGATTTTTTCGTCGATGGGCACTGGACTTTTTTTTGACGCTCACGGGCCAACAGCTGCCGATTCTCTGCTGCGAAATGATCATCGAGCAGGTAATGAACAACATGGATTTATGCCATACTTGCTTAGCTACTGTATAACAAAATTCAAAGAGTCGATAAGCATACTTGTAGTATTTTTTCAATGTTTGGCCTTGTTAAATGTGGCAGATTTTTCATATCATTCAAATAAATAAAAAAATTAAAAAAAAAAACAGTTATTATTTTTCTATTGAAATGCATTTGATAATTTAGCAGTGCAGAAGTACAAGATGTAAAATTATTCATGTATTTACACGACACTTCCGTCTTTATTTTGTTATTCACCCCAGCCTTACGTGTTTTATTTCATTTTGAGACAAAATAAAATTAACCGAGGTCAGAGATTGAGTCTAGAGAGACAGAGAGTCTGGCGCGAATACGCCGAGGATAATTGTGGGCGTCGCGCGAACGAAACACGAGTTCAAAAGTCTTGGATTGAGTGGTCATTAGCACGCACGTCTGCGCGCGTATTACGCATAAACTCGTCGTTGGCTAAGCCTGGCAATTATTTGGTCTGTTGAGTTTTTTTTCACGCTATCGTTTGTAATAATATTTATAATAATAAATCCCACAGCTGTCTTATACAGGATCGCGACGATCTATTCGAACTCGAGTGTTTTTTACGAACTCCTCGCCATCTGGGATCTGCGGGAGAGAAAATTTATCCGACACTCGACGTAATTTCCCCAACGATACATATACGCGCCATAAAAGGAATACGCGTGCATTATACGTGCCTTACGCAGCGTTATGGTAGCTCTCGTCGTCTCGCGTATTTTTATATAAAAATATATATAATATATATCTTGCAAAAAGTCCTTCGCGCGTCGTCGTCGTTAGTTGCAGTCAGTCAGAAAAGCAAAGGCAGTAAATATGTACGGCTTCCACGCGATCAGCTTCGTAAAAATCTATCTTTCTTATATAGATTTATATACAGAACTGACACGCAGAAGGTCTCCGTTTGAATGAATATAGCAACGGCGACAAAAAAGAGGAACGATAAAAAAAACGTAACGAAAACGACAAAAAAAGCGAGAGAAGTAGATCT